AAGCATCAATTCAATTTTAATAGTTATGTTTAATTATTTTTAATTTACAAGAAATATATTCAAGATAAAGGCATTTGGTTTGGGATTAAGGGCATAACATTTTAGAGGCTGGGCTCCCAGGTGGCCTTTGACTGTTCTTCTCACCACATATGATTGGAATTAGAGCAGAATAAAATTTAGCTTCATATCCAGGTGTTTGGATAATATTACATTTAGAATTGATATGATCACTTTCCAGTTATATATTTCATGATCGTCTCTCCCCCATCATCTTTCCACAATGGGACAAACCAGCTCTACTCTTGCTAGTGGAAGAGGCCTGCTATGGATCCCGTCTGCTAAGGAATTGAAGCAGGCAGGGTCAAGCTGAAGAGCTTTTTCCTCTGTGGCCCCATCCCTATGGAACATTCTACCACTGGAGGTGAGAACTGTCCTCTCTTTTGGCCTTCCAGAAGGGTTCAAAACTTGGCTGTCAGCTGGGTTAAGTGCCCGAAGAGAGTGCTCAACGCTGAAGATGGCTGATAGGATAAGAAAACCTCATCCCCGTCCTGTCTGGCTCTTATCTGTCTTAGTTCAGTTTTAGTTCTCAATATTTTAACTGTGCTATTTTAATCTTTTAACTATTTATTGCTTGTTTTATAACCTGTAAGCCACTTACAATCATTCTGTAGGGGAGATGGGTGGCTTAACATTTTTAATAAAATAAATAAATACCAATTTCTGAAAGTTTCTTGGGACTTTTCCCAAGTCAATTAAACATTACAGATCTGTAATGGCATGATGTATTCACTCACCATGCTATTAAAGATGGCTTTTTTAAATAATTGGCAGGTCTTTGTACTGTTTCAGTGGAAAATTGATAGATGATCAATTGTCAGTTCTATGTATGAATTATTTGCTTGACTCTAAACAAACAAGCCTCTTCCTTTTTCTCCTTCATTCTAGGATTTAAGGCTTCAGAAGTATATTTAAAGAATGGTTGTATTCTCTAGAGGCTTGATGTATTGAAAGAAAGAAGACAGAAGGAAATATTTGACATGTTTTTTCATTGTAAAGAAGACAGATTATGTGATGATTGTTATTGTTACTTAAGTGATGGGTAAATGTACTTCTTGGCTTGTAAATTGATAGGCATGGATAAATCTAAGGAAAGCAAAGCATTTTCTTGCACCAGACATGCTTGACCTAAAATTAATAATTGAACTTTCTTCAACCTCTCACTTGTTTCCATTATCATGGGCAAATCAGAATTGAATAAAGGCAGTTATTTACTACCGGTATGTGAATAAACCATACAAATAGCGCCCAAGTTGTCTGCTAGAGGGTGGGAATTAAAATTCTACATAGTAGCTTTCCTTAAGCTGAAGTCTAGTTGTCTTGGTCTATAATTCCCAATATCAAAGCACCAGTCAGACTGGAAATTATGAACTAGGTAAGTCCTCAGCTCATGACCATAATTGAACCTAGAATTATGGTCATACATTGTTCCAGAAGTGGTATTCAGCAGGTTCTGACCAGTTCTGGAGAACTGGTAGCGGAAATTTTGAGTAGTTCGGAGAACTGGCAAATACCACCTCTGACTGGAGATTTTACAGTCTCCTTCCCCTGCCACGCCCATCAAGCCACACCCACAGAACCGGTAGTAAACAAATTTGAATCCCACCACTGCATTGTGCCAATTGTTAAATGGTCATCATGTGAATGACCTGATTTTATGATTTTTTTGCGATGGTTGCTAAGCAAACACATTGTCTATAATATAATAATAAACCGGAAGTAAACAGTGGTTTCCCAAAAAAACTGCAAATTGTGATCACAGTACTGCAGGATGCTGCAGAAAGCTATAAATGCGGTCCAAAATGTGACCACGATTGTGGGGGGGAAACAGCTGTTGGACTTTTGAATCCATGTCATATTTGGAGATCCATTGTTAGTTTTAGTGGTTGCTGAGAACTACCTGTATAATAGTTCAACTCATCTGGATGGTACCAGGATGGGAGAACTACCATAGGACAGCACATCCATTCTGAATGAGGAAGGCAGAAATTAGCTTTGTTCTTAGCTGGAAACATCTTAGTTAAAATAATCTGTGTGGCTTTTGTTGGTTTCTTTTCATTATCCTGCAATAAATTAGAGAGCTTTCAGTTAACCAGTTTCTATTTTGTCTGGATCTGGAGAGTATAAATCTTAGTTCAAAACAAGCCAGGGTGTTAAAACCACATTTTAAAGGAAATGTTGCTTTTGCATTTCATTTTAATATGCTACAGACACATGCATAAGACCAGTTTTATTTCAGCTTAATTATAAGCTTATGTGCCCAGTATGTCTGAATCAGAACTTTGAATTTCTTTCATTTCTATGACTTTTGGGAGTAACAAAAATAAGTGTCAGAATCATTTTTCCTTGATGATTCTCTTGATGTTTTTCTGGCAAATTATCATGACTTGCTGAACTGCCCACTACTTCAATGGTTATCCCTGCTGATGTTCCTGAATCAGATGCTAAGAAGGATAAATACTTTGTAAGGGACTTTATTGTGAGATTGTCTGCTGTTTTTTGCACGTGGATATCTTCTTAGAACAAACATATTTTTAGATGATGGTTTTGCATTTATTTGTTAGACATATATTCTACCTTCCCTTTAAAGACTTAAGGTGGCAAAATTGCTCTCACTTGCCATTTTTCTGAGAACAATCATGTGAGATTGTTGGTCTTAGAGAGAATAATTGGCTGAAAGTCACCCAGTGAGTTTCCATAATTCAGAACTGAATCTGGGTCTCTCCAGTGCCAATCCATTATAACACACTATGAGTTTTGGTGAACGAACAATTCTGAGCAATGTTCTAGGTATCAATTCTAGCAATGTAGATGAGATTTATGGCATTTCAATACATATAAAGAATGTATATACAGTACAAAACATTGCAGGAAATGCAGTTTTATTTTTAAAATGTTTCTCGGGGTAAGAAGAAAGGGAAACATTAGGGGGGAATCAGTTCTTAGTAGTACTTGTGAGCGAAAGTTTTGTGATGATCAAGGAGCCTAATAGTGAAAACATTTCTAGGCTGATTATATTGCAGGAATATATGTGGCAAGTTAAGTCTTTTATCTCCCACAGATCAGCCCACCTAAAATTTGATGGTCATTTCTGTGCTGCTAGTGTTTATATTTTAAAATTTATTTAAAATATTTAGGCAGATCAATAATCAGAGAGTTCAAAGCTTAATATATATATTTATTTTGGAATGAATTTCCCCAGCTTTTTTTAACTTCCAAGTGATCCATAGTTCTAAGTCCTTTAACAGAGCATTTGAGAAAATGGGGGTTTTCTTTAAAACTTTGAGCAAAAAAGAGAGACTTTTCCTCAATTCTGGCGTCCCAGTTTAAACTATTTCAAGTTTTATCTAATAATCTAAATGGAAGGCCTCTTTTATCACTATCACTGTCTAGTTGGGTGCCCATAATGGTTTGGGCTTGTTTTCCTTGTCTTCCTTTTGGTACAAAAATTACAGTCAATAGAGCCTATTGGACAGCAAGTATATAGAAAAGAAAGATGTTTTATGTCTTTCAAGGCAAGTAGAGAAGATTGCAGGTTCCATCCATTAGTCCAGCTCCAATGGATTCCTGTCCATTGGTTGTGAGTATTTGCTTCCAAAGTAACGTTTGGAAATACTTGGAAAGGCAGGCTTAGTTTAACCAGTTTAAACTAAGCTTTGCTTAACACGATTTTTATTTTGCTGCCTTTTCTTTGTGAAAAAAGGGTGTAGAACATATTGCCCATTGAAATAGAATAACCTTATATGTAAATACACAAATCTGATGATGGCGGGAGCACAAGCCAAGGTTTGGAGAAGCTCCAGGCTGGGTTCTATGAAAGTTTGCAGGCTGACTGGCTCAGCGCGTGTAACCTAAGACAGCTTCTCGATTAGCATAAGGCTGGTTTGTTGCTTTCTTTCCTGCCCTTCAGTAGCTATTCACCATTTTCGGAGGGGAGGAGCAACAGCAGCAAGCAGCAGCAGGGGCAAAGCGAGCAGACGATCCAAGGCGGATTTTCGGAGAGAAAAACATTTCGGATTAATCTCGCAGTCCGAACGCTTTCGGGTTTTAGTTGCTAGCGCGACTGACAGACAGACGTAAGCGCGCGTTCAATGAAGGGAAGAGGAGAATAACCTTGCAGGCGAGCAAGAGGGAGAAACGGCTGGCGACGGATGCTGTTGCCGCTGCTGCGGGAGCGCGGTGGAGATGGGCGCCTCAGCCATCTGCAGTGAAGGCGATTGTTGCCGCCGCTTGTAGGTTTGGGCAACTGGAGTGCGCGAAGGAGGAATATGCGCGGCCAGGGCGGGAGGAGAGGCGGTGGGTGCTGCGAACGGGAAGAAGGTTGCTGCAGCCATGCTTTTTAGGCTGCCTCCTTGATGGTTTGCTTGGATTCTGATAGGTTGACGGAAGGAGGGGGGGGAAGCTATCATTTGGCCGCTGCCAGCCCTTCGGGCGATTCCTATGGCTTTACAGCTCAGAGGCTTCCTTGCTTTTCTTTTCGCAGCCTTCGGGGTCAGCGCCCCCAGGCCGAGCGCGCTGCCTGATTTGCTTGGGCCTCGGGTGCCCCGGCTCACCGCTGGCTAAGCCCTTCCGCGCCGAATCGAGCTATTGTTTTGGAACCACCGCGCTGCTTCCACGCCGTCGAGGGGCTCCGCTCTTCCCCCGCCGCCGCCGCCTTCGAAGCCGCCCCATTTGCCTTTCCTGCACATGACTCGGGATGGAAGCTGGTTGGAGTGCCCGTGAAGGGGGATGCGTTGTGGGGCGCGCGTAACGCGGGCTCTTTCGCGGGAGGGAAACCAGACACGGAGGAACCGCGATGGACGAGGCAGGGACTCCAGATTGCGCGCTGCGCTGCCAGCCCGAGCGCTGCCTGTGAGGAGGCTGAGATAAAGCGAGCCGGGAAGCCTGCCTGGTTCATGCCGCGGCGGCGGCTCGTGCAGAATTAGCTTGCGGGGAGTCTCAACATGAAGAAGACCCGAAGTATCACCTTACGGCGAGCTTGGCCGAGCTCGGATTTCTCTGACCGGGCTTCGGACCGCATGAGGTCCCGCAGCGAGAAGGACTACCGCTTGCACAAACATTTCCCACCAGCGTTCCTCTCCCAAGCATCACGGGGCTACATGACATCAGGTCTGTAACATCAGTATCTGTGGGGGTGGTGGGTAGGTGTACACACGTACATGCAAAGGGCTGGTCTTGGTGTGTTTGTTTATCTCCCCCGCGCCGTGTTAAAAGGGTTGCGACTGATTAGCATAGGTTGCAATGAAGGAGGCAATTTCTTTTAAAGCTCGCATCCACCATTTTGTACCTCAGGAAGATTTATTTGAAGCAGGGCCTTCTCAATATGGAATTTAAAAACCCTCCAGCTCCTTAAAATAAACGGGGAGAGAAGGAAACGCTCAAGCCCGCGTGTGGAACGTTGCACCTCTTTGTGAGAGCACAAGCACCATCCCCACCGCTGGGCTGAGGAAGGATGATTAAACCACACATTGTCTCTTGTTCTACCTAAATGCAATGATTTCTAAAGGCGTTTCTGAATTTAATTTTCCATCTGGAAGTGGCCCTGCCATCGTGGCCTTATTGGGAATATTGTCTCCAGTATCCATTTGACTGGAGGCGGGTGGGGCGGTTTGAGGGGGAGTTCTGTTTTGCTGATAAAAATGAGTACATATGTAAACACCAGTGGGTAGGAAGGGAAGAGTGTCTGGGGGTGTGTATCATATATACGCCTTTCCCTATCTATTGCTTCAGCGCAAGCTCCTTCGTAATAATGGATACTGCATTAACATGTTTGTGCATGCATAACAAGATCAGAGCACAACAAAATGTGACAGGAGTGCTGCAGAAAGCTATGTATCAGGGCAACTTGATCTTTCAGTCAAGAATTATAGAAGGAAATGCCTTCTTGCAATAATGCATGTTCGCTTAACTGATGGTTTTTAAATTTCAAACTTTGAAGAGAGACCAAAAGGAATATTTTATAAGAATCCTACTGGAAAGGACATAATATGGAAATCTTCTTTATTGTTTTAATTCTTGGTTAATTTTAGTCAGGTTTCATTATTACAATATTAAATTTTCTTTTATTATAGGGAATTAAACTCACTTCAGCATAAAAACACAATTTTTTTATTACTTGGTAGAGGGTATCTCTTCTGTTCTGGCCCAGTTCTTAAAGTTATTGCTTGTGAGTAACTTGTTTACTTAACTTGTTTTCTTTTGTTAATAATTATATTTTTTCTACTAAGCACTAAATTTTAAAGATAAGAATAGATTGTTAACAGCCTTTTGTCAGTAGCTGTAAACATAGGGGAGAAATATTTTATGAGAATCTTGTTTGAATGAATTTTGGTCTACAAGCTTTCAGGCTGCCACATAGGCATGCATTCAGAAAAATGACAAATCTGTATAAAAAATAAAAACCAGCCATACCATTTGGAATATTGTTGCTTCAGTATATTTAATAGTGCATTTGGCCCACCCTGTATACTCCTAAAATTTGGGAGTTTACTAACCCATTATGTAGTTATTTTTAAAAAAATAGTTTATAGTAACTAGTATTTAACTACATTGTCATCTGGTTTTGTGTCACTGGAATTACAATTCCATATTTTTTTCTGCAAATATGTGTTGTTAGTATGTTTATCATATGCGTTTAACTCATATTACTTATGTAAAATCCCTAGGGAGTAGCATATATATTTGAAATAGTTATTACAAAATTTGAAGAGCAGTTGTATCATCTAATATCATCAATACTGAAATTGATATGAATTTGTTTGGGAATGCTAGAGTTACTTGTGTTGGGTCAGGACCTTGTAAAACAGAATGTTCCATCTCCCTAGTCTGGTGGCAAAGTCTGCAGAATTAACAGTGCAAAAATGTATGGTGTCTGTGGCGGGTGAGAAAAGAACAGGTGACACATAAACTATGAGTAATACACTATAATTGTTAGGAGCATATCAGAAGTTATATAAAGCAAACTTAATATATGATGCTGTAACTGAAAAAGTAATTTTAGCCTCATTCTGAATTTACTTGTGTCCTTTGTCTTTCTATATATTGGTTAGAGAGGAATGAATTAATTTTCTAAATCCTGGCTTTTTTTATAGGCTTTTTTAGGATAGGAAATCTATAGGAAGCCTTCTTGCATAAAATTGACAAACTGAATACAAATATTTTCTTTGTCACTCAAAATGCTATACAGAATGGAGAATCATGATTTTTCAGACTGCCAAATTGTGTTTGTCCTGTTAACTCAGTCTGATTTCTATTAATATTGTTGCAATTTTACTTCAGTAAGTTCTTGGAAGAAGAAAGAAAAGAGAGTTAGGGAATGTTTGTTAGGTAGGTCAATAATGTTAAAATATACAAGCAAATCATTTATTCTTTTCCCTAAATCTCCAAGTCATTCTGTCTGTTAAGATTTTTTAAGCTGGAACATCCCTAGAATACCTTATAAAGGTAGTGAATATAGAAATATCCAAGTTCTATGTTCTGATAGGTTAGGATTATCAATTAGCATTTGGTAATGGTTCATTTTTAAACATGGTTTTTCTTTCATTAGTATAGATATCTGAAATTTTGTGATATGGTGAATAATATTTGATACTAAAATTTTGATCACTTTTCAGAAAAACAAAGAACAGGTAGTCGTCAACTTACGATTATCATTGAGCCCAATATTTCTGTTGCTAAGCGAGATATTTGTTCAGTGAGTTTTGGCCCATTTTCCTACCTTTCTTAACACAGTTAAGTGAATCACTGCACTTGTTAAATTAGTAACTCAGTTGTTAAGTCAATCTGGGTTCCCCATTAACTTCGTTTGTCAGAAGGTTGCAAAAGCTGATCACAGGTCCCCAAAACCACTGTATCATGAGTCCATCATGAGTCAGTTGCCAAGGATCTGAATTTTGATCATATAACCATGGGGAGGTTGCAATGGTCGTAACTGTGAAAAACAATCATAAGTCACAATTTCCAGTGCTGTTGTAACTTTGAACAGCCATTAAATGATCTCTTGTAAGTCAAGGACTACCTGTATTGAACTAACATCCATTCTATGGACAAAGAAGGAGTAAACTGGTGACATTTTTGTTACCAAAATGAATGTAAGATTGTGCTTTTTGCTGTTAAAATAAGGAAGCCCTCAACTTAAGAACCATAATTGACCCCATATTTTTGTATGATAGAAATTAACTTTATTATGAAAGGTTATGAGATCGTCACTTTTTAAAATCACTAAATTGATTCATGCTTAGTAGTAAGATACAAATAATATATTAACAGATGTTTAATCTAAGTACTACAGAATCCTCTACAATAAAGAAAGATATTACAATGAAGAAAAAGCAAGAACCAAATTAAAATTATCTCACCAAGATTCCACTTCTGAGTGTGAAAATACGAACAGTTTTGAGGTTAGATTATCAGATGGAAAATTAGATACACTTGTCACCTCTAAATCATTGTTGGTGATATTTTAATCAGTTTTTTTGCTATAAGCCTGCCCAATCACACAGATTCATTGTTGGAGTAAAGAAGGAATATATATAGTGCTCCAGCTCCTTGGAGGAAGGATAAATACAAATAAGTCAATAAAAATGTTACTTAAAAGGGGCATTAGTCTTGCTTGATGGCTTTAATTATAATTACTGATTCTAGACATCATCTATTCTTTATTCCAAGTTGAGAGCTAGGTAAGACATAACCCATAGGATAGCATAAAAATGTGCTTCTTGTGCACCTGGTCTATTATCTAATGTTGGAAATTATCCTCTTTCCACATTTTGCTTAGTTTAGCTGTATAACTTGCCAAGTGAGTATACGCTCTTCTAGGATGACTTGAAGTTGCCTTGGGCAAACAGCATGCTGGCCTTTGTTACAGTGATATGTCTCTATTTGTGTGTATAGAAAAGTATGGTATGCAGTGAAATGACAAATGAAAAACACTTTTTAAAAACCAAAGTCTGGATAGAAAAACAATTAAAATAAAATTGCAAAATAAGAGAATAGATACAAACAAATGTTACCGGATAAGAATTAGAATTGTAGCCTTATCCATAGTAAGCTTTTGTCTGAAAAGGCAAGTCTGTAACAGAGCTCATGATAGTTGATTGGTAGTTGATGATTTCATACAGGGAAAGTGGTATGAAATATTCAAATATTGTGGTCTCAGAACAGTTGTGCCTGACCCTACACATTAGAGCAGATTTTGGAATTCTAGTGAGATGTATGTCTGAATTAACAGCTTTGATGTCCTATTTTGTACAAGTTGAAATGCCCAGTGCTTTTCAAAACTCACCTAATCTATAATGTTTTAGTATCCCTGCTTGGATAATTCCATAGCAAGATAATTGTGAAGAATTATCCCATTCCAGGAGACAATTAGAACAAATGCACTAACTAAACTTACTGAAAGAAGTTATGCTGAGAATTTCACTTGGGAATTATAGTAATGAATGAAGTAGATCTAAAAGTATTCCAATCTTCTGTTAGGAGGATTCAGGGATGTGAAAATGAATACATCTTAATTGTTTCTTGTCGGTAGGCCTTTGGTTAGAAAGATCGAGTACAGTATTACTATCTGGAAGCTTGCTACTAGATACATGATGAATCTAGATTTAACTACTCATTGCTTATTCCTCCCTACTTTCTTGCCTTATATACCTTATAAGGAATACATTTTGTGGAGTAATGTTTAGTTTTATAGTGAAACTGAATAGTAGGGTCCTTGGTGTTCTCTGAGCTTGGGTTTTTTTCTTGAAGATGTTTCATTACCCAAGTAGCTAACATTGTCTGAGCTAGAAGTGGGTGGGGTTTGCTCTCTGTTTATATACAGTGGGTTGCCCTGTCAGTGTTGGTGGAGAGTGTTGTTTTCTTCTTGGAATTCCTTGATTAGGCTGTTGTTTACTGTTTGGTCATCTGAATTGGTAGCTCCCTGTAAAAGTTTAGGTTACATAGTATGATACTTGGAATGTGTGTTATATTTTTATTTAGAATGTATCACTAAAATATCTTTTTTGGTATGCATGAATATGCGGTTATTTTTATTACATGTTTCATAATGGTCTTATTGGAATAATAAATTAGAGGACAGAATCCATAGGATAGTGGTATAATATAAATAT